GGATTTCCTGGAGTTCCGGGGGTGCCAGGTTTGCCAGGTGTTCCTGGTCTCCCTGGCGTTCCAGGTATCCCCGGGTATCCTGGAGTTACAGGTTGTCCCGGTGGATGCAGTCCTCCAGGTGTACTAGGATATTCTGGTTTGTCTGGTATACCAGGAATATCAGGTGTGCCAGGAATTCCGGGATGTCCGGGTCGAGGTGGTCTTCCTGGAGTACCGGGTGTGCCAGGTGTTCCTGGTTGTCCAGGATATCCTGATTGTCCCGGACTGCCTGGTGTTCCAGGTGTTCCGGGAGCGCCAGGATGTCCTGGTGTTCCAGGATAACCAGGTTGGCCCGGTGTTCCAGGATACCCAGGTGTGCCCGGTGTATCAGGAATTCCGGGATATCCTGGTGGTACTGGATATTGCGGTTGGCCTGGTATTGGTGTTCCTCCGCCAGTTGATCCACCCGTGCTAGGTGCTGTGGGATATTTGAGATATTATTCAATTGCATTTGTAGTTCTGTTTATTTTACAGTTTGATTTTACTTACGTTGACCTGATGGTGGAACCATGCTTGGGTTATTGCTTGTACCGTCGAAATGTCTACATACTTCTGGAAAGTACAGGTCCTTCCATTCTGTCATTACCCCGTGGTGGTCGTGATGTTCATGCTCATGTTGGACCGAGTCGTCATGTTGGTGATGTTCATGCTCATGTAAAAACAATTCAATTGTTTGACCTGGTTGGACGACTCGATATCCCCAACCATCGCTTATGTAAAATGTTGTCTTTAGTTTTCCGTACGGGTCTATGTATCCATAGCAACCATACGTTATATCGTCTGGTCCTCGAGCCTCGTGATGGAACTGTCCACTTGGACTAATTTCATATCCATAGTTGTATGCATCTGCAAACGCAGTTCATATAAACTTTTGTTTATACTGAAATGTTATAAATACATTTCCGTTTTATACGTAAATTGCGAATACATACTTGAGTAGAAGTCTTGATTTAGATATTGTGTTTTCTGGTCATCACTGATGTTCAATATTACTTCTCTGCTCTGCCTGCTTCCTTGCTGCTGAGTGCCTTGCAACAGAGATGTGGCAACCACCTGTTGCATGTAAACGTTTAATTAGTTATCTTCAGAAGTTGCATACTTAAAACGCTAAAAGCCATGCTTCAGTTTTTGTTCTGAAGTGCATTATCTACTGAATAGTGTAAGACCTACATAAATTCGGAACAATATGTTCAAAGAAGTATGTACATGATATAATTGGAATTTTCTCTTATTGCGTGAAAGGTGAAACTATAAAGGGTAAAGTTTTTAATATAGAAAGTTGAACTGCCAACTATGTTACAACTTATTTCCTTCTGTTGTTATGGTAAATATCCACGTGCCCTAAATCATTAGGTCAACATTATGCAACCCGACAATTACACAGCAAATTAGTCAATGTAGTATCACGATCTGTTCTTTCGGTTGGTGACTTCAGCTGGACTAATCTTGTTCACCTTTTAAAAGCTTAACGAAGATTCACTAACAACATAGCATCTCATTTTAAATGTCAAGTCAACCGTTCTTGGACTGCGTTGCTCAGTATACGTTCATGCGATGGACTGGGGTCGGCTCCAAAAATTGTTGCCCATACATACTTATGTTGTCGGAGTAGCAACAAGTCAACACATAGCTCATCGTCATATCTCAGATAGTCCATCAAATATTTTCTCTAAGTTCTTAGCTGTCGCAAAAACAAATGCTGCAAATTAGTCTGTCTGTTTTACAAACCTCAACAGTTTTATGGAAGGCGTATCACATTTTAAGTCAAGAAGCTTAGTATGATCTTTCGTTAGCGCGTTTGGTTTGCCCTGAACAATATTCCCTGAAGTATTCAGTTACTTTCGTATTGCATTCATAAAAAATCCGAGATAAACCGAGATTACATTCGCGGCCATCAATTCTGTCTGTCCACCGTCTATAAATAACCAACACCATATTGATATAAGTGAACAGTGCACGGTTTTGTAGCGCAGCCGACACTGACACGGCGTTCAATCTTTTCATGTCGAGATTCCTGTAAAAGTCAGCCCGAGGAATCGCTGATTTATTTCTCGCATGATTACACGAGGGAAGTATTTTCGTTCGCTCGGCCATTTAGGGTAATTAAAACTAAAGGTCGCCCGCTCTTCCGAAGGAGCATCGTGATGTTTCATAATCGAATATCCGACGAATCCAGCGCGAACGGAGAACACGGTGTTTTTTATATTATCGACTCCTATCGATCGATTTCTATTTCTCCTTTCAGTAGTATGTTTGAGTCAGTGATCGGTTTCCATGAAAGATTCGCCGATAAAGTGTCACGAGAAATGGAGGATAAAGATCAATCATTGTCAGCTTTTTAGAGTCACCACCATTTTTCGTGAGAGTACGCGAATTACGATTTCATTCGAATTTCTTTCTCCTATGTATTTATGCCTTATTTGTATAATAAAATTGTAGTTTATTTTTACTGATGTGTGCTACTTATGTCAGTTGTTCCATTATTATGTATCAGTTTTTCTTATCATTTTAATTTAGAGCGGAAGGAGCTTTGTAATTTATGATTTTATTGTACAGTTATAAAAAATTTTAAATGTAATTCCATTCCAAGGATTTCAAAACAATAGAACAGTAAAAGTTTAGATAGAAGGAATAATATTGCATAAAATAAAAGTTTTGATCATTCGTAAGTGGTTTTATTAACACACATTTAACACCGTCATGCTACAGCAGCGATGTGTGATTAATGATTAACTTAGAGCCGTGGCCCCACCTACTTCAAAGACGGTTGAAGAATTACTTTATTCTTCTCGAGTTCCGCCGACAGGACCATTGAATCAGATAAATGATGTCTTGCACAGTTGAAATTCTCTGTTTCATTATCCTAGCGAAAATACTGTGATTTATGTGTGAGCGCAAGGAGTCGCAAGAAAGCACTAAGGATCAATTTCCACGAAAAAAAGAGCCAAGCGAATAAGATGAATAGAAAATCGTTGCTATATTTATACTCGTAGAATTTACGATGCGCTACTGATTTACTTGTGAATGGTAATAGTATTAATTGTCTCCACTTATGAATGACAATACCGTGCCGGAATTCACGTACGTAAAATATTATTTTTTATCGTGAATCTTCTTACGTAATCCTTGTTTTGCGTAAACATGTACCCCTGATTGTATACAATAGTTTCAAATATTGCACCTGTTAGCGTTACTTGCGTATTTACTATTTGATAATGCAAATAATCAAACATCTAGTTCAGATTAATGTTCAGCTATTTTTTTCTAACAATCTGTACATTACTATTCCCTCAGTCGACATTTCAAACAAATTTCCTACCATTTACATAGCCCACGTTGTGTTCGTGAAATTAATGGATTCTATATTCTAGTTTTACCCATGAATAATAAACGAACACAAACCGGTAAACGAATGCGGACATTATAATAGCATTCATGGAGCCAGTGTTTATTTTAAACGGTAAATAATAAACAATGTTCCAACCTCATGGAAAAGCATATACTAACATATTATTCCATTGCAGATGGAATAATAACATATTATTCCATAACATCTAGTACAAAAGCAATAAGTAAACAAGTAAACATTGGAGCTACTGGATTGATTTATATCGTTGATAAATACGTAAAATATTGAAGATATCACCTTCTAATTTTTTATGGATTTACGACACACTTAGAATAAAAGCTTGCAATCTATTAGCTCTGCGAGAATGTTCAATTGAAACTTAATACAAATTGAAATACTTCGTCCTCGAGCATCGCATACGATCTTGTCTAACGCATGGCCCGAAACGCCGTCGTGAAAAGTGGCACGGCCGCCGCGTATCCTGCTCAGCTAGGGTCTCCTGCACGGCGATGGATGATCTCAGCCGCCCTGTGTGTTCCACCCACGAAAAGGGAAAGTGAGAACCGACCGAGCTCTTCTTTCCATTCGGAGCTGACGGACACACTGTCGTTGAAACACGGGTCTCTTTACTTCGTCGCTGTCCGTACACACATATGTCTACGAAAGGTTAATATATGCTAACGCTTGACCCGCCTTGTGTCATGAATCAGCAACTGGCAATGGTAATACCTCCGGTATTCGTGCCACGATATTTTAGTGGACAATGGGAAATCAGCAGGTGAACCACGGGCAACCAGCATCCCCGTCTATGCGCCTACGACTGTCGAGATAGCGCGTTGGCGTTACCTTCATGATCCGACGAGACATAAACCTACATTGAAAGCCGGTGGAGCTTTGCTGGACTAAATGATATCTGGTCCGCATTTGTTGCCTCCATTAGAATCATTTGTGGTTTCGATAGGTTATTTTATGCATGGCCATACTAATCCTCTTATAATATCAAGATTTATTTTTCTCTTAATTGGACATGAATATTGTGTATTTAATTAGTATCGATTGAAGAGGGATATTGATTTTTATTTGTAAACGAGTAAACTTTCACGGTGAATTAACTTTCTCAGTGAACACATGATTTCTTTGTTTGACGAGTATGTAAAAGATTATTGGAAGTTATTTACTTTCAGTTGGAATTGATTTAGCAACATGCTGGTTCAGTTTACGGTTATTTTGAAGTGAATTCTCCTATTACGTTGTAATTAATGTGTTCATATTGGTAAACAGCTTTGTATACCTTCGACATAATTTGGATGGAGTATAATGAGGATCGGTGATCAATTAATTAACAACCAGGTGGATTGTTGATGAAATACCTCCGACGCACTTTTATGTATTAATTCGGTACAGCTACATGAATGTATTTACTGTAGTTCTGTAAGAATCAATATTGATTTATTTCTAACAGTACGTTAAGGTAGTCTTATAGCATTTAATTTTATTTGATTTTCTGTGCAAAGTTTTTTCAATTGATCTTCTCCAAAGTTTGAAAGTATAGGTTTCTATATTAACGAACACGGCAATTCTCTTCTCCGTTCGTTGTAAATATATGTCTTTTTCCACAAAGGTCATTAAAAAGAATGATCAAACTAGGTATTAAAGATTTTCCGCGGAACAACCGTGAAGTGGAATCTGTGGTGCAATCCATCGAATACTAAACTGTTCTGTGATAGACCATTGAAAATTATAGACATCATATGTAAACGCCTCTATAAAACCTCTTTAACCTCTAATACCTTGATTTTTTCCTATATTTACCATTCAAAGGTCGCACTGAATCTCGGCGTGCTTAGCAACAGATATAAATAACCTGTCCTTAATAAGCTGCAGTGTGACGTCTTTTTTTGTAGCGTAATTCCGGATGAAATGGCTCTACGGTAGAGATAGACCGATCTTATTAAATTTGTCAAATATTTTCAATTGTTTTTAAGTGGTGTACTGAATTTTATACAAAGACTTATTCAACTATTATTCTTATACAGATATAAAAATAAAATATTTATGAAATAATACAAATATGAAACATACTTTATTTTTCATTTTATTTTCCGTTAGGTAGTAATAATATTTATGATGTATTAATTCTTTCTAAAAAAGTTGGCCATCTCCCCCCGACTTACCCTACTTAACGCACACTTTTAATGAAAATAACCATTTTGGATACCAAATGGATAGCTGCTAGTTCACGGAGAACGAGCGACTTGTTCCGATCATCGATCTAACGGACATGCGGTATTCAATAATGTTCATCAATTTATTCAACTGTATATATGTACATAATCTACTGGATTATAAAGGAGTAAAGTAATAATAAATAAGGGAATTGCGGCGAGAGAGAGAGAAAGAGAGAGAGAGAGGTGGGGGCGACATTATCATTTTCTCTAATTATAATCTTCTTTTAAGCCGATTTACCTTTTTAATAAAAAGAATCCAACAAAAAGACTTTACGCGTTAACGCTTCGATCATCGATGTTTATAAACTGTAATGTTCTCTAAGCCGATTCACATTTTCGAGCTAAGAATTTCTACAAAAACATTTGACTCGTTAAAGCATTCGATCATTAATGTTTATAAACTGTAATATACTTCCAAGCCGATTTACATTTTCCAAAATAAAAATTCGTATGATGGATTGCAAATATTAACGCTT